TAGGGAGGGATATGACTCCCTGACAGCCTAAGAAGACAAAAAGGACTGGTGAGGGTCACCACCTGTCTATATTTTGCTTTGTTTAGTTTAACTATTGAGTTTTAAAATAGCTACTGCTCTTCTTGACCATGAAAAAGTTCGCGAAAATAGGGCTTAGTCTATGCTGAAATTCTGTTCCTTGACATAGTTAAGTTGCAACTTGAATAGGCCCATTTGAATCAATGGAACGTACAGAAGAGTTACCAACCCTCCACTGATTCATTGGCCCCACTCTAGTGTGACTTACTACACTAAGCAATAGCCTGCTAACCAGTCCCATTTGCCTCAGTGGTGTTTCTCTAGATATGGCTAACTGGATCTAGCACTAAGTTACTGCAACGCCCAAATCCTTGCCTCTCCTGGTCCATCACTTTTTATTTATTATGAAGCTATGGCCTGCTTGCCTAACGCATCCCAAAGACTTAATAGCCAAAGAAAGCATGAATATCAAAATCATATTAAGGTGCACAATTGACTTATTACACAATAATAGCCAAGCATATGTGATGCTGTTGGTTTGCTTTCTGTAGTGCTGTAAATAGCTGCTGTAAGTATTTTCCTGAAACTTCAAGATAAAAGCTTTCGCTGGAGAAAGACAACAAATTGTCTGTGAGTTCCTTGGTTTTTGAGATGTAATATCCTCAGCTCAACAAACATTAGACTTAAAGCAAGTTCTGGTTAAACCATTCTCATTACTTCTGGTGTTCATAGCTCAGCCTAAAATTTAAGAAACATTTTGCAACACACAAGCTTTGGTAGACTATCACAGCAACATGATTGAAAGGGCACACTGCAAAATCACAGAATTTCTAGTGTCTTTTCTCACATGAAACACAAAATAACTAAAACAGGGTCCTCTGATTCTAGGACGAAGTATGTCAACAGCTGGAAAATAAGTGGGTTAATATCCATGATCTTATTAAATAAGGATGAAATAAATGTTTCCTGAAAGCAGAAATCTCTCACAAAGAGAAGAAGAAAGATTGAATTTGAGTCTTGTATCATATAGCCTGAAAATATAAAAAAGAAATTAAATTTAATTGAGCTGCTTTCAGGCTGCACTTTGATTGACAGGAGCCTTAGGAAATTTAATAAATTAAGAGTGTTGAATTCAGGAAGAAGACTTGAGATAAAAAGGCTGAAAAACAAAGAATTGTGGAGAAAGTGAAGAGTGATTGTGAGGTAAATAAACTTGAGTTGCTGCTGCACTTTGATTGACAGGAGCCTTAGTAAATTTAATAAATTAAGTGTTGAACTCAGGAAGAAGACTTGAGATAAAAAGGCTGAAAAACAAAGAATTGTGGAGAAAGTGAAGAGTGATTGTGAGGTAAATAAACAAAAGGCAACATTCTCTAGGGGGGAAAACTGAGTATGCTAGAAATAAGTTTCGCAATAGCAGGACTTCTCATGAGATGAAAAGCGAGCTCAGTTAATATGGGAGTGAGGCACCAATACTATTAGCAGACGGTGTGACCATGCTATTTCTCATTTGCTTATATTACTCCTATAATATTATCGTATTTTTCCATGTAAAACACCCCATGTATAAGATGCCCCCCACTTTTCTAACCCAAAAGTTATTTCTTCGCAAGAAGTGGAAGGGGAAGGCAGAGATCAAAGCACTTTGATTCCTGCTTTCCCCCTCCACTTTCTTACAAGGAAAGTGCTTTTCCCTTCCACTTTCCTCGAGAAAGTGGAGGGAGAAACAGGAATCAAAGCACTTTAATGATTCCTGCTTTCCCCCTCCACTTTCTTCTGAAGGAAGTGAAGGGGGAAAGCACTTTCTTCACAAGAAAGTGGAGGGGGAAAGCAGGGATCAAAGCACTTTGTTTCCTTCCCCCTCCGTACTTCCGTGTACAAGATGACCCTCAATTTTTAATCTAAATATTTTAGAAAAAGTATCATCTTATACATGGAAAAATATAGTACCTATTACAGAGACACACAAAATATAAAAGAGCACTGCATACTTTCGCAACACATGTTCATGTTCTTCATGAAATGAGTACCCATTAAAGCATGTGATACATACAGTATATATCTTTAAATACCTAGAGCAGAATTTCTACAGGACAGTTCCTGAATAACCTCTGCCAACATATATATATTCCTGTCATTTGCCAAAGTAGCCCTCCAGCAGCCATAGAAAATTGGTTTCTCACTTCCGTCAAATCTTTCCTTGCTGTGCTTTGTACATTCCTATCTGTCTGCTGACTCCTAATGCTAAATCATTATCTCCCACTGAAAATCGGGACTCTAAACTTTCTTCCAGTAGCTAACCTTACAGTACTTCCTTTCAAATTATATCTTACCACGTAATTACATCTTACAATTCTGTCCAAATATTATTTGGACAGGATCACCAGACATTCGCCTAAATGGCACTCCTGCATTTCCTGGAACTTCACACCTGTAACCCTTAACCAAGCATGCTTTTACTTCTCATTTGTTTTGTTTTTTGACAGGTGGCGATTTAGAAGTGAAGGAAAACTGATCAATTGCCTTTCTCTGGATTTAACATTTCTATTACACGTTTAACACATTGGGTCTTTTCCCCTCTTCAAATGCTGGAAATATTAGTGGTGAAATAAAATTTGGAAAATTTGGACAATTTTCCCAACTCTCAATTTAAACTGCTAGTTATAACCTCTAAAACCCTCTACGGATTGGGCCCAGGCTATTTGAAGAACCGTATCTCCCCATATAACAAACATACTCCAGTCTCCAGTATCTTCAGGCTGGCCCTTCTCTCAATCCCACTACAATCACAGGCACATCTGATGAGGCCCCAAGAGAGAAGCATTTTTGGTGGCTAATCCCAGTCTATGGAATTCCTGCTGCAGGATGAGGAAGAAAATCAAATGGAGACTGCCAGCACACAATTGGATTTGGCCTGAGAGAATCCACACTGATCCATTGGTAACCCTTCTGTCCCACTTCTCTACTTGGAATGACAACTGAGAGTAGAAGATGTTCCATTCTTTTAAATACAGTGCCAGCTTTGAAATGCATTTTCTTCCAGATACTCAGCTACAAACATACAAATACAGTACTTTACTTGAAAACAAGAACAGAGAAATAATTGCTTGTATAACATTTTTTTAAAATGTCATGATTCTTGATCCTCAGGAAATGAACTCCTCTATGTCCAGGTCATAAAAACATGTTATATCATCCCATGTGAATAGTCATAGGCAGTATTGGGGGGAGGGGCTGGGTTACATAGTGAAACTGTTGAAAATTGGGTGTGCAATTTTATGTTTTTATAATTTGTTAATAGTTGAGGGTTATATCTGTCTACAGCATCACTATTCTCAATGTGTAGGCATCCATTAGATATCTCAGAGTGATTGGACACTATGAACAGTAAATGAAAACCAATAATTGAATATATTATTTTATATATTATTTTAGATTTTGTCTCATCAAGTTTCTCCTTTTCCCACATGAATTCAAACAACCCTCTAGAAGCTAAGAATCCCTAGGAAAAGAAATCCAAAGAAAGGGATGTGAGTTTTGTAGCGGAATGAAAATGTCAATCCCAAAGAAAAATGCCAGCTTCCCAAGTGGGGAGTCAAATTCCATATCAGGTAGAATTTTTAAAAGAACCAAAATTAACAGTGCCAATAATACCTTGCTTTTATGCAAACAGATGGTGCAAAACTGTACATGGAATACTCTGAGGAGAGCTTGCAACATTTCTGGCAGTTTTTGGTAACAAAAAGGAGCAAGAAGCAAAGAGCTATATATTGTGCATGGTGTGGGAAATAATGCTTGAACCTGAGGGTGATGTTCTTGAGTCTGAATGTGGAAAATTCAGAATGTATAGAAGTAAGTCTTCACACAAAACCTCATTAAACTGTCAAATTCACTACCACAAGAAGTGTCAATACCTGCCAAACTGGAAAGCTTTAAAACTGGGATTGGATCAGTTCATGGAGGACAGTACTGTCCTTGGTTTGTAGTTGTGATAGATATACATTCCCTTGACTACCTCGGGCAGTGTGATTTTGTCTAACACTTGCTGAGAAACACAAGCAGCCGAGGAAGGTGCCGTGGTTCTGATCATCTATACATGGACTTCTCTTGTGTGAATAGAATGTTGAGCTGGGCAGACCTTGGGTCTCCACTTCTTCTAGCACTTCCTCTCTGTTTATATGCAGGGTGGCAAAATGAGCAGAAATTTACACATAACTTTTCAAAATGGTTATTGGAAGAGCTGCTTTCAAAAGGGGCATGGAGGGAATACCTTTGGGACAGATGCTCTCATAGAACTGGGGCTGGAATTCTAAAGCCATGTTAGTCCTGGTTTCAGGAGAAGCCATAAGGCAGTAATTAATTTTTATATTATCAGACAGGCAGGTATTAAGAATGGCGTAGCCTTACATTTCAAACATATTTAGGGGAGAGGATTCATTTCTAGTTGTTCTTTCCCACCACTTTTTCCAGTTCAGAAAGCCAGTTGTATCCGTGGCTGTTCCTTTGTTTAAGCATTTTAAAATGTCAACTGGAATCCAATTGAAAATTCAGCTCTGGCACAACTACATTGGCATAAATTTGAGCAATGAATTGGCACACGTTAGAAGTCAACATAGGTACTGAATGTTTTGTATTGGGGCAGAGCTGGAAGAGAGACCCTACAGATCATTGAGTCCAAACCCTCTCAAGGAGTCACAGCGGGGAATCAAACTCCCAACCATTGGCTCTTCAGTCAGATACCTAAACCATGGAGCCATCCAGCAGTTCATGTGACTGGGGTGCTAGCAAACCTCTGTGCCAACTTTTAACTTGCAGCAATTTGCCATTGAAATGTATGCCACCTGAGTTAAGATGGTGGGCATAACTAAACAGATAGTGAAAGTTTAAAAAAACACATACTGCTTGATACTTAACCAACACATATACGTATGAATGCCTAATGATACAGCAACTGTTATGAATCCTAAAAAATTATACGTTACCTGATCTACGTACTATGTTTTGCCAGTTCAGGATTTCAGTGACATTGTCGACAAGGTGTATGTTCACAACTTCGCTGAGTTGTTTCCTCAGTGCCGCATCATCAGCTGAGAAGGTCACAGGGATCAGGAAAACAAGAGCAACAGTAGCAAGCCAGACCTTTGGAGCATACATGGTGCAGGCGGAGATCTGAAAGAGGCCACATACACATGTGCATTAGCATCTACAAATCATCCCAGCTTCTCGGTTGGAACTGAGTGCTTGACAACTTACAGAACTTTGGGGAGCTGAATTCGAAAGGAGCAAGTGGCCTGGCCAATGCCGGATTTATATTTTATACAACAAATTTAAGATCCTAGATGACTAACCTTGTTACTCGTTAACCTCAGGGTGCAATATTTGCCAGTCTTGGAAAAACCCATTGTAACAGCTGCTAGACTCATAAAGGTTATTGACTTTCCTACCATAATGCCCCAGCAAGAATGGCAGAATGTTTTATCATTCCCCATAAAGTCAACATCTAGAGGAGATAACTCATGCCCCAGCAGCAGCATCTTGAAGAAGAAATGCTTTATAAGAATTAAATGATATTTGGGCTTTGTAACACTGTCAGGTTAGGGAAGATTGAAAGTTCCTTGTTGATAACAGGAAATTGTAGATTTTGAAAATACTGAGGATAGTGGCATGACCCTGATACTTTTCATAATGAGGGGTATGCATGCTATTATTGCACTTCAACAGGAGGTATAGCCTTCCTGGTTAATTGAATCTTCCAGCTTGTCTTTTAGAGCTTAGGAGCAGCATGAGTAATAACATTATCTGTAACAAGTCATTTTGGTTCTTGATGATATGGGGGGGGGGAATAACATGGGCACAATGCTACCGTATTTGTTGATGCACTATAATGACAGGCAATGCCATCACATCACATGGCAATATAATTCTAGAACTATTTTCTCTAAGGAGGGTGTGAGAGAATAATGATGCTTACAGTATGCTATAAAAGGTAGCAAGCAGGTTGGTTCCTGATTTTTGCATTAAAAGGAGGGTCCCATTCACAGAAGTAATGATGTAGAGCAGTGGTGTCGAACTGTGGCCCTCCAGATGTTCTTGGCCTTCAACTCCCAGAAATCCTGGCCAGCAGAGGTGGTGGTGAAGGCTTCTGGGAGTTGAAGTCCAAGAACATCTGGATGTAGAGGAAGACCTAGTCTATTGCTGATGTCCCAATTTTTCAGTTTCCTTATATGGAGAAGAGCAGTGAAAGTATGGTATATTATTCATTCTGAAGCTGCACCAGAAAGTGTGGCTCTTGGTGTGGCTTCACAAAACTCTGGGATTCCTGACCCATAAACAATATGAGTCAGTTCTCTGCTCGTTGGTATGACATTTTGTACATTTCAGACGTGCCTTGGTCTCTCTGTTTCAATGCTGGTAGAAATAATACAGCTACTCTTACATACATATGAAGTATCTTTAAGGGTTTACGCTTATCCCATTTACTAAGCATGGGGAAGGCACAGAGAAACCTTTAAACCTACTTCCACAAGAACCTACCTCTTTCTTGTGGAAGTACAGTTGTGTTCAAAATTATTCAGCCCCCACTGAAATTGAATGTTTTGGCCATTTTGACATTGATTTTGATCATTCAGTCATCTTGCTTACATTTACATGAAAGAGGCACTTGTAGGTCAGAGAAATATAACCTTAAGTTTATAATGAAATAACCACAAATGTCTTTTCTGTGCTCACATCATTATTAGTTTTTATTCAACCCCCAAGTGACATTCAATCTTAGTACTTAGTACAACATCCTTTTACAGTTATAACAGCTTTTAAACGTGAAGCATAGCATGACACAAGTGTCTTGCAGCGATCTACGGGTATCTTCACCCATTCTTCATGGGCAAAAGCCTCCAGTTCAGTCAAATTCTTAGGCTTGCGCACTGCAACTGCTTTCTTTAAGTCCCACCAGAGGTTCTCAATCGGATTTAAGTCTGGTGACTGCGATGGCCACCCCAAAATGTTCCAGCCTTTCCTCTGCAACCATGCTCTAGTGGACTTGGAGGTATGCTTAGGATCATTGTCCTGTTGAAAGGTCCAACGTCTCCCAAGCCTCAGGTGTGTGACGGACTGCATCACATTTTCATCCAATATCTCCTGGTACTGAAGAGAATTCATGGTACCTTGTACACGCTGAAGCTTCCCTGTACCTGCAGAAGCAAAACAGCCCAAAAGCATTATTGACCCTCCGCCATGCTTCACAGTAGGCAAGGTGTTCTTTTCGTCATATGCCTTGTTCTTCCTCCTCCAAACATAGCGTTGATCCATGGGCCCAAACAGTTCTAATTTTGTTTCATCAGTCCACAGAACACTATCCCACAACTTTTGTGGTTTGCCCACATGACTTTTGGCATACTGCAGTCGACTCTTCTTATTCTTGGGAGACAGCAAGGGGGTGCGCCTGGGGGTTCTGGCATGGAGACCTTCATTACGCAGTGTGCGCCTTATTGTCTGAGCTGAAACTTCTATACCCACATCTGACAAATCTTTTTTCAGTTCCTCAGCAGTCACACGGGGACTTTTCACCACTCTACGCTTTAGGTAGCGCACAGCAGTCGAAGTCAGCATCTTCTTTCTTCCACGACCAGGTAGCATTTCAACAGTGCCCTTTGCCTTGAATTTGTGAATGATGCTTCCTATGGTGTCTCTTGGTATGTTTAACTTCTTTGCAATCTTCTTATAGCCATTGCCCTTCCTGTGAAGACAAATCACCTCTTCTCTTGTCTTCCTGGACCATTCTCTTGACTTCACCATGTTTGTAACCACACCAGTAAATGTCTAGAAGGAGCTGAGTATCACAGTCATTTTAAAGCTGCCTAATTGGTGCTTATTATGCTTGATTGGTGCTCGGTGACATCCACAGGTGTTTTCAATACCTGATCGAAAACACCTGAATGAACCTCTCTTCTTCAGAGTGGTAGTCTTTAAGGGGTTGAATAATTGTGGCAATGAAGAAACCACAAAAGAAACATTTACTACTGTATTACATAAACAATTGATGTTATTTTAGTTGCATTTGGTTCTTTAAAACGTCCTTGTAGGATTTCATTCTGAATACAATTCCAAATGTACACTATAGTCCCTAAATCCCTTTACAGCATTGGGAGCTGAATAATTTTGAACACAACTGTAGACTTACTGTTCTCTCCATGCCATTTCCTTAGGTTACAACTATCCCCCACTGTCATTACCTCTGCAGCAATAAAATGAGGGGAAGGCATGTGTGGTACTAGTTGTTACAATACATATTTTGAACAGTAACTATTGCTGCTATACAAAAAAAAATGATGTTGAAAATCTCCCCAGTTTGAGAAACAGAAGCTGAAAATCCCCTTCACTTCACAGTATTTGAGGTACCTGTACAGTTTTGTATCCCAGTGGGTGGATAGTGTTGTTGTACTCTATAGTCACTAGGTGGTGCTGCACTGAAGTTGTGCCTGCATGGGCTCAGAAATTTCTTATTGTTTTGTTTGAGAGAGACACAATGAATTCCTTGCCTAGCATCCTGATTAGTGTGCTCATCCATTTGGAGAATTTGTTCCACATACTCCTTTCTGTCAAGATATTTACCAGGATTTGCATCCAAATCTCACTTTTAAAACCTGTTTCTCTGACAGAAATTTGCATCTGCTTAATAAGGCCTCTAAGAATTTTTTTTATTAATCCACTTCTTTTCTGGATCGTTTCTGCTGTTCTTAATTACTAGCTGACAGCTTCTGACTGGGGTTTTTTGTTGTGGACATCAAGTAAAAATGGGAAGCACTAAACTCCACTTCCAAGATAAAACAATTCAAAAAAAAAAAAAAACAGGCTTTCCAGAGGAAGAGAAATGAGTGGGAAGTAACAGGAGAAAGCACTGTATGAAGTGGGAAAATGGGAATATTCTAGAAGTGGTAGGAAAGATGCAAATAACCAACAACCTCAATGGGGAAGCCAATACTGTACAGAATACATGCTCCATCTGGAAGGTCTCTGCGTCTTTTGTGACGTGGTGTTTTTACAGCCCTCTCAGATGTATAGTACTGGATATGGACATCTTAAAAATTCCATAGTGTGTCTTCCCTCTCTTTGTGGCGATTAGATGATCCAGTTTACCTTCTACGTTTGGTCTTTGATCTCCTGATGACAGATGCAGTGGCTCTGCTTTAAACAACTGCTGTAAGAAGCAGTACATTAAAAAAATGCATGCTTCTTTTTAGCTGTCCAGAGATAACCTTCTGCTGAAGAAGACGTGTTTTTAACAAGTCATACTCAACATCAAAAAACTAAGATCATGGCCACTGGTCCCATCGCCGCCTGGAAAATAGAAGGGGAAGATATGGAGGCAGTGACAGATTTTACTTTCTTGGGGTCCATGATCACTGCAGATGGGCACAGCAGCCACGAAATTAAAAGACACCTGCTTCTTGGGAGGAAAGTGATGACAAACCTTGATAGCATCTTAAAAAGCAGAGACATCACCTTGCCAACAAAAGTCCAAATAGTCAAAGTGGTTTTTTCCTGTAGTGATGTATGGAAGTGAGAGCTGGACCATGAAAGCTGACCGCTGAATAATTGATGCTTTTGAATTGTAGTGCTGGAGGAGGCTTTTGAGAGTCCCCTGGACTGTAAAGAGAACAAACCTATCCATTTTGAAGGAAATCAATCCTGAGTGCTCACTCGAAGGACAGATCCTGAAGCTGAGGCTTCAATACTTTGGCCATCTCATGAGAAGAGAAGACTCCTTGGAAAAGACCCTGATGTTGGGAAAGTGTGAGGGCAAGAGGAGAAGGGGATGACAGAGGATGAGATGGTTGGACAGTGTCATCGAAGCTACCAACATGAATTTGACCCAACTCCAGGAGGCAGTGGAAGATAGGAGGGCCTGGTGTGCTCTGGTCCATGGGGTCACGAAGAGTCAGACACGACTGAATGACTAAATGACGACAATGTTAAAAAGTATGTTAAATATCTACAGACTAATTTTAAAAGCAAGTCTAGCACATCTGTTTTATTACCCACTGTGGATGTGTTTCATTGCTCAGCTCTTCAAGTATACGACATTGATTCCCAATTATAAAACTAAATAAACAACAACAAAAGCAGTAAAAATTCACCATCAGATTACAGCTTCTGGAAATATCAACCCATACAGTTATAATTAG